CGGCGTGAGACTCCTACGGTCGGGCCGAGTGCGTGTGTGTGTGTGTGTGTGTGTGTGTGTGTGTGTGTGTGTTAAAAATCGAGATTCGAAAATTCGAAAAAATTAATTTACCAATAAACAGTAGGGAGATAGTATAATTAAATCGTTTTTAAGGGGGGGGAAAAAATAGAGATTCGAAAAATGAGTAAAGAAACGTTCAACGATAAGGATTTTTATCGGAGAAATCACCTAAATCTTAAGGAAACATTCTTAATACTAAATCTGAACGAGATAATAACGCGACGAGTGTGCCGGACGAAGGAGCCAGGCGATCGCCGTCAGTTTGTTAGTTTGTAACAATGGCCCACGTTGAAACATTCGTACATTCTCGCTCTCTTCCAGACTCTCTCTCTTTTTCTCACACTCTTATCAACAAATTGATGCGTAATAAGAATAAAATTAACGAGGTAATAGTTAAAATTGCACGTGTTTTTTCTAGCAAAGAATATTATTTCCCCCCCCCCCTCCCCCCTCCCCATTCAGGACGTTCAGCACACTCTCGACGGAACCTAAAAAAGGAGTCGAGTAATCGAAAATGCCCAAGATATATATATATATATATTATTTTTTTTTTTCCTTTCTGTCAAAACGATCGTTAGAGTAGAATGCGCGAGGGCATATAATTTGCTTGTACACCAATGACATAGTAAGCGATTCTGTGCAAAAAGAGAACTATTCTCTCCGTTGCGAGACAGATTTTCTTTAGGTAATCCCCAACTACCACTGCGTATCAACTTTTCTCCTTGAACTCTCTGTCGAAGAAGAATGATCGACTCGCAGTCATCAATCATGTATGCATACACGCGGAGTCTTCGACGCATTACTTTCTGAATAATTAAACGGCTTCAGATAAGCGAAGAAGAGTTCCACGCACCAATGTTATATATCGTCGTACATCGCGATATTATTCAGATCGGTACGATTCATTTGATCCGCGTCAGCTCAAGATGGATCACTACCGTAATTTTTATACGAATAGATGACAGGACATGCTGGCAGGAACGAAGTCACAAGAGCTCGTACTGGCGCAAGTGCATCCGTTGAATGATGTCCCGACAATCGTTAAACACTCTCTTGATGTTCTCCGTATCGACGGCACATGTAAAGTGCGGATAACAATAGTGCTTGCCGTCGCCGCTCGCTGTGCTTATACGCTGCAAAACAATCCGATCGAAAAATTTTATATAGCTCGCACGATAAAACACGATCCCTAATCTCTAAAATTGGAATTTACTTACAAGAAATTCGTCTCTAATGAAGTACTTGGCCCTCATAACGTCAGGAGGTTCCGAAGGATCTACTACTACCCCAGCATCGACCGGTGTCTGATATCTCGCAAAATCTGGAAAATAATCTTCTAATTTGTGCTTTCCTGCTTTTATCTTTTCCGCTAATAGATCTTGTTTGTTTAAGAATAAAATTACGGAAATTGTGCGAAGCCAACCTAAAAAAAAAAACAAAAAAAAGAAAAAAAAAAAGAAAGAAAAAAAAAACAAAATAATGTAAAAATTATTTGAATCACATTACACGATGAAAAGCTATCAAATCAGAAAAATTGAATCATACCGATTGTTCCAAATGCTTTTGAAGAGGTCCAAACTTTCTCTGAGTCTCAATTTTGTCGGATCCTCCCTGAGTACCATGTTATAACTACTACATGCTGTTACAAATATGATTGCCGTTACATCGTTAAAACACTGTATCCACTTTCTCCTCTCATCACGTTGACCACCAACGTCGAACATACTGCAAACAAGCAATCATTCAATATTATTGGAAACGCAATTGGAGGACATCGTCCATACTATATATTTTACGTAACACCGTCGACGTCGAGTGGAGAGAG